GCAGGCATGTACACGCTTTATATCGTTCTACACACTATAAGTATTGTTATTAGATTTTTTTTGGATGAAAATTCTAAACAAGATAATATTTCAAATATTGATCTAAAAGTTCCCGAAATTCAAAATCAAGTGAAAAGTATACAGAACGAATGAAAGTCAAGGGTAGTTAGTAAAGCACTGAGAGTTTATTTTTATTTAAAATCAATTTAGATATTTCGGCTCCTCTTCGAGCTTTAATGAAAATATAACATTATATTTTTATATATCTTCAATATCTCTATTTTTAGTAAAAGCGAAAATACATATTAAAAATGAGATACTTAAAAATATATATATAATTAGTTAAGAATTTTTTTAGACACTTATTCTGCATTTTTCTATTTTTATGATAATTAGTAAAAGCATACTTAATGAATTTTGTTTTATTTATAGCAAACACAAATCTAGATTGGACAAGCACGGGAGTAGCTGCGATACCCGATTCCTTACCGACAGTTCATTCTAGTGAAGATTGGCAAGCCGCTTTTGGCTTTCAGCCTGAATCGTCTCGAACGAATCATATTATAGCAAAATCTAGTTCAACTGATTCGAGAGTACCGTTCAACTCTGAGGGTTTTGCAGATGAAGAGGTTTATATAAATGCACCTTACACCGCTGCACTCACAGAATCATCATCTAGTACCTTCACATCTAATTTACTTGTAAATTCACCCGCATCTAAGTTTATGGCAGATTATCAACAAAATTCATTACAACAAAGGCTTAATATACAGGTGAGTGGGATAATAAAGTTGTGTATTTCGGGTTGTGTCTAAAAAAAATAAGGTGTTCATTGAGCATATCATTTCTTGACTTCAAAAGTAATACAACTAAAAAACTTAAGTTTTTTAATGAAGAAGAAAATTATTTTTAACTGACAGAAAACAAAACTATCAACTAATTGTATAATATTGGCGGAAAGAAAATATTTTTAATACGATCAAATATCATTTTTGTTTTACAACCATTAAAAATCACTTTTTATGATGTTTTGACGATTTTTTTGTGAAGTTTATTTTTTATGACTATAATAAATAATAAAATTGATGTGTGTTTACCAAATGTATTTATACTTAATTCCATTATAACAACATTCTTTGAAAATCATATTTCTTAAGTTATTACTTTTGAAATGAAGGAATGATATATACAAAATTTTTATTGGAAAAAAAGAAATTATTATATTAAAAATAAAATTTTTAAGGCGCAGCAAACTCAAGAAAATTGTGAGTACATAAAACAAAACGGCCACGCTACAATGGAAGAAATTCGGAATCATTGTGATGCAGGCTCAGAAGTGAAAGCGGACGATGATTTAGGTTTTGATCCTTTCCACGAAACGCAGAAAGCATTAGCAGAACTTTTAGCAGAAGATGAAATGCAGGTGCAACAGCAGAAGATGTTCCAGCAACAACAACTAAGAGAACGAGAGGAGCAAACTAGGGTGCAGCATCAACAAACTCTCGCTAACCTTAATCAACAACACTTTCCACAAGTAAATATTCTTATCGGATTTTTCTTTTATTTCTAATCAATATACTTTAACATATAACTTTCAGTTACGTGTGCATTATTTTTTTTACAACATGACATCTTTTTTTTATTTTTAATAGTTTTTCTATTTTTCACTTTTTGTGTTTTGAAACTGATACAGTAGAACTGTGGAGGGGATTCATATCAGAGAATAGAGTTGACTCAGCGAAAATGTTATCGTCGATAAGGAAGTTGTTTAGATATATTTTTACTACAATGCGCATTATGAAAAGTTAATATTTTTAATTTTAATTTTTATCACAAAATTTCAAGCTACGTATAATTTATAGTAATTTATGCAAAATACAGTTAAATAATATTTACATATAATTTTTGTCGATAAATACACGCATTTAACATATAATTTATATTATAGAATGTCAGAAATAAATATGCGCATTTATTATTAAAAATGAAATGCTAATATAGACCAATGAATTTAAAGAAACAAATACTCTTTTAGGTTGCTCACATAGCACACTTGCAGCAACAAGCCCAACACTTGCAAAATCTACAAGTGCTTCAGTCGCATTCCCTCTTGTCCCGTCTTCCGCAAAATCTGTTACCAAGCGGTGCGCAGAGCCCTGCACAGGGTACTGTAACGGCTACTACTTTAGGACAACGCAGTCGACTCCCGCCACCTGGTTTTCCTGGTTCTACGCCAAATCACATGAATTCATTTGGTCTCGGTATACCGCGACCAGCACCAACGAATAGTGCCCTCTCTGGTTAGTGTTCCTCCAATTTTTCCAGGCACCAGGAATCATAGTGCACAGTGCGTGAAATTTACATACGTATACGATAATCTATCGTAGCCGTAGACAAAATTTATTATCGATTCGCGGATTTCTATAGACAAGTAAAAAGATCCATAAGATCTGTCGGACCAAAAAAAGAAAAAATTACACGAATATGTAGATATATTTAAATGGAATGCTGCTACTCATGATCTGTTAATCGTCCAATGCACGTTATGTTTGCAGGAGCGCAGCCACCTCAACCACAGAGTGCGTACCTTCCAAATGGAAGTCCACTTCTCAACACGCAAAGTAATAATTCTACCTATTAATTTTCTGTATTGGAATATTTTTAATATTTTTATAAATTATAATATCTGATCACAATTTCCCGTACAGGCATCGGCAAATGCACGGGAGACGTTTATACTTTGAAGGATTGGTGCGAAATTAATAATCAACAGCAATTTCACCATCAAGCGTTACACCAGAAAGGATGGAACAATTTCGGACCTATCGCAGATTGGACTTCGATTGATCCAGCTATAGTCACATCATCTAGACCTCTTCCATTCCAAACTACTAGTGCTTGGCAATTTTCCCACATTCATCCTTCTCATGTTGTAACTCACAACACGCAACAGGTACGATACAATTTTTTATATTTTTGGTAATTTGTACTTCGTCATTGTATTATAGAATAAAAAAAAAAACATGAATTTTATTTAATTTATTTACACAAAATATATACTATTACTACTTTGACGATGCTTGCAGACGTAATAAATCATGTTTTATGCTCAGGAACAGAACGCACCTACTCAGCATTGGGCGATGCAACCACCTCCTGGCTTTGCTGCACCCTCGACTACAGGACAATTGAATAATCCGCAGCCGAATACAACCGCACCACCGCACACCAAGCTCATCTCTGCAGGATCGGAAATCGAAAGTAAGTTAATCGCGATCAAGCTCCGTGCAAACTAATAAAAAGAAAAAGAAAAAAATACTTTATAATGCGCGGTATCGAGATATATAGGCCGTCTATATTGCAGACCTATAAGTCTAATGCGTGAGGCGAACGAGTCGAGGCGTCATAATGTTTCCGGACGTGGCAAGATCAAATCCAGCAAATGAAAAACAAAAAAAAGCGACAGTCGATAATGTACGTTTTCCTAACGCTTCTTTATCTTAACGTTTTATTTCAAATCTCAATTTATTTGTGCGAGTATTTACTTGATTGAAATATCGGAATAAAATATGAATTTCCTTGATGTAAGCGAAGATTGTACGTCTCAATACATCTTCCTGATATTACCATTTCTAAATTATAGTAAAATTTATCATATTTAAGTCTGACTACCGTTATAAGCGAAGTGTTATGTAGGATATATGAAATATTAAACGGATGAACGATTAAAATAATCAAAAAACAATGATCACGATATTTGCAAGTACATTTCCTTTTTGAATTCTTATAATTAAAGCACTATTTTCTTCGAAATATATTAAAATTAGACATTAATGTCCTGTGTTTATAAGCTCTATGAAATTGAAAGAAATACAGCAGAAAGGTATTAGAATGCAAATATAATGGAACTTTTTAAAGTATTGTTTAATTTTATATCTGTCATAGTTAGAAATGTGTTTTAAATTAAAAGCTTTGTTATTGTATATTTAAATGCTCTATTGTTATATATTGAAATGAATTGTTATATATGTATATGTAATGATACTATGAATCGCCTTATACATATTTTGCTATTTTATAATATTACTTTTATCGTGTTGAAATGTAATTGATTTTATCTAATCACATTTTAAAAAACTAGAATTCTTTTATCATTGAGCAGGATATAATAGACATGATTTTACTGTCGCTACGGTAAAATGACGTGGAATTTTATTATCTTTGCACACACATTAACTTTCTTTGAGTACGTCATTGATGTGCATTATCACATATTGTGATACTATAAGATGCGGACTCGTTATTATAAGAAGAAAAGGAAAAGACTAAGAATTAGGATCTCCTAATTTAGTTTTGATAATCATTTTAATGAATATATTGAGTTGTTAATCAAATTGATTGGACATACAGGTCATACAGATTAAGGATTTACCTATACTAATCGAGAGAACTTTCCGAGCGATATTTCTAATCTGCGACACAAGATGTATCGATATTGATTAAGGAAAACTACAGAGATGGCTGTTCGAAAAAAATTAACAACGCGACAATGTATTTTATTTACGAATGCGAAGCGAGAGAAAGGAAAGAAAGACAAGGGGATTATTAATACACGATGTACGATAAACGATGCGAGAGAAACGTCTGAGCGATGTTCATACGACGCGAATTAACGTCGAACGAGAGTTGTTCCCGTGGCAGATGATTATCGAAAGTATCTCTGCCGTTTTAAGGCGAATAACGAAAGAACGTCACATACACAGAGAACGAATGAGATAATAAAAAGTATAATTATTATAAATTTAATTCAGTAAGATAATCGAGAAATATACGATAATGCGCAATGAAATTTCTGTGGTAATTTTATCTTCATCTTTTTTCGTATCCTTTATTAATTTTTACCTATTATATAAGTAACTTAGTGTTATTGAATTTTATCAATTACATTTTCTTTCGTCAGTAATGGTTCAAGAATCTTGAGGAAAAAAGATCTACTACTGTGCTGGTCAAACGATTTAATTTAATTATTTATTTACAATAATTCATCAGAAAGTTTTGTTTTTCATATGTATTCTTTTGAGATTGACATTTCAAATTTAACAGCTTCTATGACTGTTTGCAATTAAAAGTTTGCTCTGTACAATGAGAATCCTCATCGACGAATACATAGTAACTTCCGTTCATGGAATTCTTGTGATCTAACAAATTGCTATTTACGACGATGCAATCCGTTGTGTTAGAATCAGGATAAGAGGATAAACTGAAAAAATCCAAATTACATAATGAGTAATACAATAATCATAAAATAACAGTAAATCTGTACATAAATAATTTTAAAGAACATCTTATTTATACTTTTGGAATGACTTTAAAAAACAAATTCAGTAATATGCTTGCAAATATGTTTTGTATAAATAATATAATATAATGAAATTTTTCAGGAAAATTGAATGTTCGTGAAAGTTAAACTAAACTGAAGTGTTGAAGAAAGAAACTTACTTATCAGAAATGCCAAGAAATCCACAACTTTTTTCTAAAACGGTTGTCAGATAAATCACAGCTCTCCTGTGTGGACAACTGATGAAATCTATTCCTAAAATGTGAGAGAGAGAGAGAGAGAGAGAATTTAATTTATTTATAACTTCTAATTATCGCTTCTGTTCTAATATTCTAGCCGACAATATCTTTTTGTATGCAATAATTGGGTGCAATTTATCTCTCAGTACCGCATCCTGGTTGCTTTTCTCCGCCATTGAAGTACAAATCGAAGTGACCAACAGGAAATGATATCCCAAGTTCAGATGTATGGATAGCTATTACACGGTTAGCATCATCTTTGCAAAGTCTTTCCTCGCAATCATTACGGCTGAATAACGGACGTGCGGGATCAGCAGCAATGATAAGTGGAATTATGTAGCCGAACTTTTGGAGAATTTTTGCAGCGAAGCCAACCACGTGTGCGCCGAGGCTGTGACCAATGAATGTTATCTTTTCTAATGGAACATCACACTGTTTGATCACGGTATTGGCATAGCTGCAAAATGAAAATTCGATTATTATGGACCATCTTGGTATGTATACATCTTTGGTATGTATACATGTGCGTGTTTATACGTGCGTCTCTTTGCGTATACATACATACGCTAGGTATTCTATTTTAACTTTTACATTAAAATGTCTTCATAAAGAATATGGAAAAATATTTTAGATGAAAAAAAATGGTTTCGACGGGAACGTACTTTGGTCACGTTTTTCCCTAGAAAAAAACTTGAAAAAAATAATATGACCAAAATATGTGCTTCTATGAAATTGTTCTGTTCTTATTTGAAATGTTTTTCCATATTTTTTCATATTTTTCGAAATATTTGTTTATTAAAGTGAATCACCTGTGTGATATTTGTTTATAAAGTGAACATGTGCGCGTGTGTGTGTGTATAAAATATAATAGAATACTAAGCTTTTATTTATTTTGTATCATACATTAGCTGTATTATGCATGTTAATTATTAATATTATTTTATTTCGTGTTATCAATTTTTTTTTAAAGTAGTTATACTTTGCCAAAAGTTGACCTATTTCTCGAGTGTTGGTTACCGCACTGGGGTAGAATATTAAGTTGATGAGGGGTAGCCCAGTTTCGCAGGCTGCTTGAGACCAATCCAACACAAATACCGTGCTTTTCTATCAAAGTAGGAAATTATTTTATTAAATGAATTGATTTATTTTATTAAATAAATTGATGAATTTTTAATGTAGTATAGAATTCATCAATTTATCAGGAAATTATTTTATTAATTTTTACTTGTTTTATTCTTCACTACGTTTTATAATACTTTCACATTTAAATTAAATTTTTGTCTTTTTTATAGGTGCACTGTACTTTCATTCCAATTATTACTCATGCGAATGTGTAATATCTACGTGTTTCAATTGCATGGCCAGATCTATAGTATAAGACGAATGTGCGGAACTAGTGAAGCCGTGAGTTACAAAGGTGACCGGTTGCGATGAATTAATATTATTGCAGATCTCATTTTCCGGAATCATTTCGCCTGTAACATGGCTGAAACAAAGATGAATATAGTCAGTGCAACAGATGAATTGACAATGGATATTTAAATCTTGTTTTACCTGTTATACAGAAACATTGACACCGATTTAACACCGAAGATACAGGAATTTGAAATTTTCTCTGCGACCTTATCCGCTACTATAGGTTCGGCACGTAAATACGTGCATTGTATAAAGAAAAGTACAAGTATCGTAGCAACAGTTCTCATCGTGCAAACAGAAATATCAACGAATCATCAAAGGAAAATTGATAAACACGAGATCAAACCTTGCAATAGTACGAGCTTTTATACGTACAAAAGTACGTTTTATACTTTTATACGCATATAAGTATTGACATTTGTAATACCGGCGGCTGTGCAAATTGTTTAGCGAATGAAAACTTGCGGAAATACATTTTATGATATCGATTGCAAATGATCAACAATATATGTTACCACCGTGCACACCTTTTCTTTTTGTGGTTTGCTTTCATTTAAGACATTATGCGGTAATAAAACATGATGAAGTGCCGCACAGACAAATATTGGACGTGATGATCCGCCCTTGATATTATTTATCGACATATTACAGCGCGACACTTGCCACGTATTCTTATATTTTATGTCGAATTAAAGTTTTATTGAATGGAAACATTTTTGTAGACACGTTTTAACGTTCGTGTACTTTAACAAATTATCTAAGTAAAAATGCCGAAATCATAGGCGGAAAAATTGCAGGAGATCTGCAAAGCACTTCACGATGAAGTTCTATAATATTTTCTTCATATAAGTTTGCAAAAATAAATGAGAAAATTTGCATATTAAATTCACGTTACAATTACATCGCTAAAATATAAACGAATATATAATAAGCAAAAAATTTGCTTATATAACATTGGAAAGATATTGTATATCCTATCTCTGTTTAAAAAAAAGACGTATTAAGCATAAGTGCAAAAGCAGTTTTTTTTTAATTAGCGCATTTTGAATGGAGTATCAATACAGGACAATATAGTATCAATATAGCACGAAAGAGCAATTTAATTTTGATATTAATTGCAGATCTAATTTTTGAAATAAATAAAACGTAAAAATTATTCTCAATTATCTACAGAATATTTAAAAATATATTATTTTAATATTTTTTAAATAAAAATATAACAGAAAGATTATTTTAAAAAATCAAGATAATTGAAATTAAATTATAATTGATTTACGCGTGCTAGAATTTAAATTTTGCACTGTTATTCGTGAAGTTGTAACAATAATTACACATAGTATCACAAATTCCTTTGTGCCTTTTTATGACTTCTCACTTTTTCTTATATCTTCTCATTCTTTTTCCGATACTTATTTAACTTCGTGTGGTCTTTGAAAATTAAGGCATTTGTGACGTTATGAATAAATTAATTACTTTTCTTAAATGCATTTAATATATTAAATGCGGTAATCTATCGATTATTAGTCTTCTATATCATTTTATAATTAGCTTTACATTTATTTTCATAATTTTAAATATTCAAACAAAATTTTAATAATAAATACAATACAGAATGTTAAGTAAATTAATTGTAACAAAATTTTGTTTGCTAAAATCAAAAGTTTAGTTCAATAATTTAAATTTCGCACGTTGTGTATGTTTTGAAGTTTGGTAAATAATACAATAATTAGGTCTGTTTTTTATTGCTGCACTCTCCGAACAAATATACGTTTGTTTCACTTCAACTTATTGCACTATGTGCACTAGTTCAGAAAGTGTAGCAATAAAAAACAGACCTATTATAACAATTGCTACACATTTAGATCAAATATGTACTATATATTCTGTTCTCGTGAGAATCAACATGTTTAAAGTTAAACGTAATTATTTGTTAATATTCATAAATTTAATTAAATAGTAAAAATGAATAATAAAATTTAATAATTATAATAAATAAATTAAATAACTCTAAAATCAAAGGTTTGATATTTTAACTTTTTTCAAATATAAATAGAGAAAAACCTGGAGACACCAACGAGGTATTATTACAAACTGTCTTATAGAAGTTTGCATGACTGTTAAAATTTAGTGACAGTAATAACTGATTATTTTTAGAATTGAAAAAAATGAAGAGTTAATTGTTAATTGAACGGTCATAAATGTCATAATATATCGTACTAGCGTGAACGGGCAAAATAACTATCGAAATATATTGAATCGAATCGCGCGAGCAATACGATTGAAGAGCAGAAGTCTGCTCTTTATTTCTGCACTTTCTAGAATAGTGCACACGGTGCAATAAATTGAAGCGAAATAGAATCGAGGTGGGGCCAGTATCAAAAGTTGCTTTATATATGTTCTGTGTTATACATCCCGACAGCTAAAACTTAGGTTATTTATAACCTTGCACAATATCTTTCGGATAATCATGGTAGAGGAGATTCAAAAGAAGCTTCAAAATGAAGCCGACACGCTGCGGCAAATCCAGAAAGGTTAAAAGACATTAATGATTATTTCTGGAAAGTGTTTAGTATAAATTTCACTCCTCGTTTGTGTGCACTTGTGCAGCAATGAGATCTGTGAAGTAAAACATCAGAGTTGCCGACTGCAGATCTAAAATTCTTGATTTCTCTAACGAAACTTTCAAGACTTTTGTATTTATATGATTAGCTAATGTTTTCTAATTATTTATTCACAATTCTATTAATTAATTCGATAATTGATTATTATTGACTGAATCGAACCCGTTTTGGGGAAAATCATGAAATAAAAGAAAGCTGAAGCTCTTTCTTTATTTATCATTATTTAATATCATTGCCTCTTTTATTTGACCCTATCTTCTTCATTGCTAATAACAATACAACTAGTAATATAAATAAAAAACTTCAACCAGTTATTATATATAAAGAAAAAAGTACTAATGCATTTGTTATATCTATAGAATACAACAAGGCGCTGAGCCAGAGGCAGCAACTAGATGGTCAGCTGAATGAAAATATTATGGTAAAGAAAGAACTGGATGTTCTAAAGGAAGAAAACGATGTTTTCAAGTTGATAGGACCTGTGCTTGTGAAACAGGAATTGTGTGAGGCCAAACAGAATGTTGACAAGCGTATGGATTACATCAAATCCGAACTGTAAGTTTGCTTTTATTAGGATAATATTCAGTCTATTCTTATTTTAAGATCATCTTAAGATGCTAATGCAATTCTTTGGCTGGTATTCATAGTCGGTTCTTATTTCAAGACTGTCTTAAGTATTGTCTTAAGATGTTAATACAGTAGTCTGATTGGTTTGTGACATTTTAAGACTATTTAAGCAGTTTTATTGTTAAAGTAAATTCAAGATTCATCTATGAATATTGGCCTACAAATACTGATCTAAATACAAAATGACTATATGAATATAAGGTCTAGAAATCAAACTGCAAGTCTGTTTTGGATTTACATACAAGGAAACAAATTTTAGGAAACGCGTGGATGACTTGATGTCTAACATGGACAAGAAGCTAGACTCACAGAGAGATGTAATAGATAAATTGCAGCAAGCATTTCAACAAGCCCAGATTAAAACATCAATAAACGAATCAAAATCATAATATTGTACAGATTGTGGCTTTGTTGAATAAATTATCAGTTGTATAATTAATAATTAACACTTAAGTGACACTGTTAAATAGTCTCTTTATAATTTGGTTCATGAATGTCATATTTGTTTCATTTATTTTAGACAATTATATTATTATAGACAATTATTAATACAAATCTTGGTTATATGTGTCATAATCATTCAAGTGCAATTTATGTAAGATAAAAACTATAAATTCTTTTTCCATAATATTGTCCCTTTGCCCAAAATCGATCCTTACATTGATTAATAAAACAACTATTTTTTAACAATTATAGTAAAATTATACATTTTTTATGTCAGAAATTATGTAATTTCTTAAAACACAGAGTTAAAACTGATTAATTTCTGTTTCTACCAATGTAGTAGATTAACTTTATCTTGGCGAACATTTTTTCTATATAATTATTAATTTCAAAATTTGTATATAAATTTCAGTATTTTTGTATGATTTTATAACTTTCTAGAAAATTTCTAAAAATTTTTATAGGAATTGGATTATTTTTTTAAAAATGTTCAAAAAGTTTACATCTTCCAGAATTCCTCGTATATATTAATTCTGAAATATATTAAAATTGCTCTTTCTAAAATTTTTTAAGAAAACTTATATAAAATTTAAAGAAATTTAAAAAGCATTTAAAAAAAATTTTCATAAATTTGAGATATAAAAAGTTCTTAAAATTATAACGCACGCATACAAATTTTTCAATATACAATAACGCCCCTATCTCTGATTTTCCTATAATTTTGTAAATTTACATGTTTTTATATGTAAAATACATTCCAAGGAAGAAAATCTTCGCTTAAGTTCTATTTTTTTTTAATTTAAATTTTTTATATCAATAAACTAAGAAATGATAATTTAGTTATAATTCTCTGCTTTCATTAATTATAACAAATTATATTTTCTGTGTAACTTAAATTATGGCAGAGAATAATTTGTGATATATTTCTTGAAACAGAATAATTTACAGAAAATGCTATAAATTAGTTTTTAAGCTTTAAATAATAGTTAATAAGGGGCTTAATATTTTTTTCCAAAGCTGTATTCTGCGCATATACACATTAGAAAATTGTAGAAAAATCGGATCGGAGATGTAGAATTACTGCATCATTGAATTTTTTCACTACGATAATTTCACTTTAATTTACTCTTTATTTTATTTTAATTCTTAAAACTAGGAAAAAATAAAAAGTAAGTTAAGCTGACAATAAAATTAATCTACACTGACAGAAATGTAAATATAAGAGAATTGTTTCAAGATATATGAACATTTATGAACGGCGCGCTGCGTAGTGCGTACAACAATGGAGAGTCAACATGGCGACGACGTAATACTGCCTGTCTTGAAAGAGTTGAAAATAATTCGAGGATCGTCGAATGGCTATTAATTTTCATAGCTGATTAAAGAATTTTAACTGATCAACATCACGTATCAGATAGGAGGAAAAATGTTGTTAACATTAAAGCCGGATCACAAAAAGCACATGCTGTTTCTAGTCGAACAATCGTCGCCAGGTAAGAGCGAATTATCTGTCGATAAATTTATGTTTCACAGAGAAATATTAAATAAAACACATTTTTCCTCCGTAGTTTTACAGGATTTCTGTAAATTGGCTTTGGATTATTTGCAAAAGGGCCCGAATGTCAAAGTTTACAATGCTGCTGCTCGTATGTATCCGGATAACCAAATTTAATTTTGCCTCAGATTTTAAAATTAGGTGTCTTACAAATTTTGTTCATTGAATGTCAACAGAAATACATAAAAATGTTGTACTTCGAGGTGGTATTTCAAAATTACGTTCACAGATATTACGTTCATAGAATTTTTACGTATTTATGTTTTATATATTTATATTAAATTTATTTATGAACAAGAGTCCTTTGTACATAATTTTATTGCATTAATTTCTTTCATGTAAATATACAATACAAGCAATGCAAAATATATATATTGTACGTTGGATAATATAATGCAAAAAGAAATTAATATATCTGACTAAAGTATTGAATAAATATATATATATAAGCATGATATAGAAGTTTTATACATTTTACACACACTCTCACATATACATACACATTTAATGCAACAACAAAGAACATAAGTTTTGATGTCACTTCCATAGATTGTTTACATATAACATACCTATAAGACAAATTTGAACAAATCTGCTGCTTCTGTTGTCACTGCAAGCAGTTTGTTTACTGGATAATTTCCGTAATAGTCAAAGTGACATACAATTATTAACTGCATAGTTATCTCATTTTGGTTTCAGAGAAATTAAGTGTTGAGCTGGATGTGATTAAAAATTCGGTAGAGGGTTTAGTTAATCTCTTGTTGGAGAGTTGCAAACACAAGGTGAGACCCGTTAATAGTAATGCAAGACAATAGGGTGTTTGTTATCTGGAAAAACTTATATTTAAAAGCAGATCACTGTAAGAACAATTTAATTATAAAAAACCAGATCACTAGTTGTGACAGGAGCATTATTTGATGGGCTCGAGTTTTACAGCTAAGTGCGGAGGATTTCCGAGATTCTATGGTTGCCTTAGGCTTCACGGAAGACAAGGAGGCAATATTGAGTAAATTGTACAGCGTTAAAAAGGACGAAGTCTCGGATGCGTTGGAAGATATTGGATTTAAACTATCAAGTTACCATGATATGGAATGGAGATTTGAAGTGCAGGTAATGGAGTCTCCGTATCTCTTGTTCTCTTTCTTCAAACGTTTCAATTCATAATTGAATTATATTATTCTGTCATAGACTGCGTCGAGATCCTTATTGAAACAAGTTGCACCACTTATTTCTCTGGACTTGTCGCTAAAGAATCCCGATAATCCCGAGGAAATTGAACACATTTTGCTACAAACCGATCCGACTAACTTGCTTCATATAACTCAAGAGTTGGAGGAAGCTTTGCAAGAAAGTCGTAGTCAACATATTCGGAAAATTTCAAAAGCAGTAAAATAAAGCTTTTTATAATTTATAATTATGTTTGAAACACAATTTGTGAATATAGTGTAATATACAACTATATATAAAAATAGATATAAGTAGAAAAGATTAAATAAAACAATTTATATATATAAGGAATGAATATAACTCTATTATTTAAATTACATTTATTATGAGCATCTGTAAAGTTTCACTCCAAACGGATCATCCTAAATAATAAATGACAATAATCGTCATGTATAACATGCGTATTACATCCGTATACATTATGTTGAGGTGATAGGTAGGTTTGCATAAAATGATATTTTTTAATAGAATACCTATATATAATTATTAGTGTTCTTTTATTGTATTAATATTTTGTTCATTCTGCACAGTCATCCAAAATATAGAGCGGCGCTAAAGGAAAAATTACCTTTCTTTGTATGTGGCTCGACTGAGGACCCATCTACGGCTGCGAAAACTGCAGAAACATCATCTACTGGAACTACCGCGTAATTTCGAAAGGACAAATGTATTGTAATTTCTAAATATTGTGATATATGTTTATGGGTATATTTCTCAAGGAAATTGACGAATCATTGGATATCTTATGTATACATATATGTATATATATTTATTTGTACAAATATATGTGTATATATGTGTGTGCGTGTGCGTATGTGCGATAAATGTAAAACGTATGAAATGTTCGTAATTTGTGAAGTTTTAATAATCGGCGAACAGCCGATTATGTAAAAAGCTACGTGTATGGAATTTTAAGTGGATTGATTCTATATGCTGTATGATAAATTCTCATTTTATTTTGAATCTTTTCTTTTGTTTTTTACTTTTCTTGCTGATGTTAAATATTTGCAAGAATAAATGATAGAAGGCATTTAGATAAAAGTGCCAACTGTATTAGGCAGAAGAATATTATTCAATAAATCATTTAGCATGTAATGATTTCGATAATTTCCAAAAATTGATTGTTTTAATTAAAATGGGACACCCTGTATATGTGCACATACGTACACGTTAAAAAATTTTTGTGGTTGAATAGAATTCGTATGTGATTGCATGCAGTATCTATTTAATTCTATAAAATTAATTACAGATATCGTTATAGCGATATAATACCGCATACCGCTCACAATATAATACTTTTAGCGACATTACATATTTGCTGATTCCAAAGTTACCATGTATTTCAAGAAATGATAAAATTTACAAACTGCGCTATGAGCCATTTATGACATTCGTCTTGTGGTGCGGCCGAAGCATATAATGTTTCATAGACTAACAGCTATAATGAAACTGTTTAGCCCTCGATTTTTTTGTTGTTAAAGTTTTTCGTATATTCGCTTGGCTGGGGTTCTCGCTTTGATCACAGTCAATCGTACATTTTTCTTATATAAAATATCACGGTTAAATATATTCTCGTTAGTGACGTATCTCACTTGCATACGTTATTTAATGCTATTTACAACTCATGATGATGCGATTTCTGTATGACGAGAATATAACATTTCACAGCATTTACATCCATTTAGTAAATCTATTGCATCGTCAAAAAATCGATGTGTAGAACGTCGTTATTTTATGCAGCAGGTTTTTCGCCTTCTGTAACTGTAGTAGTTGTGGATACTGTGTCTGAGCCAGGCGCCGATTCGGTGGCACACGCCAGAGACGGAAACCTCTGAAAGAGAGCGGCTCGGTACTTTGGATGGCTGAAATCATACAGAAAAGAAGATTAGCTTCGCTGGAAGCACATGAAACAATTCAGCCACTCTCTGTATTCTATCTGTAAAAATACGTTTCAATGGCGACATACTTCAGAGAAGTATGGTTGGAACCTACCTGATACCGTACACAATAGGATTGTACACAGCATTGGCTTTGGCAAAAAGAGAGCCCCATATTGTGAAGAGAGGGCTGATTTTGGTCGTCTCGAAGATGCCTGCGAAGTTGATGACTAGGTACGGAGTCCACGCCATGAACCACAAGGAGATGGTCATGAGAGCTACCTATAATTAATAAAATCATTATGGCGACCGTATAAATGAGAACAAATCGGTTCAAGAGAGTTTACGAGCAAGAAAGCTTACTTTCGCCAGTTTGCATTCGGCGCTGGTGCTCTGATTTTCAGCGGATCGCAGAGAAGCGACGTTCATCTTCTTCGCTTGCTCACGCATGTTCTTCTCATGAGCGGCGACGGCTTGAATGATGAAGAAGTAGCTGTAGATGATGAGGAACAACGGCATAAAGTAAACAAAGATGCTGTAGACTAGGATGTACGATCTGGAGATTATATCCTTGGTTAAATAGTCTGTACCACAAGCAGTCATGTTGCCTTCTGGCACGTAACTGTAAACAGAAAATGTATGTTGTTGATATTTGATAATATTCTTTAATAACAGTTAATATTATTTCAGACTTTTGAATCTCTCACCGATTCCATCCGAACATCGGGGCGATTGTCCAAAGTATCGTGAAAAGCCAAACAGCGAATATACGAAGGAGGGCACCGTTAATGGTCATCGGCTTAGCAGACAAGCCTTTGACAATTACGTTATACCTATCGAAAGCGATCATCGTCATCGTCCATATGGAGCCACACCCGAACAGGGAGCCCGCCATACCATACATTTCACAGAACAAGGGTCCTAGCACCCAAGTCTCATAATAGCAGTTGATTACCTGTGCACATTGTTAATTGAATATACTAATCGCATATCATGTCGTATCGGACATATTTCGATGACGAATGCCTTGGATTAGAACGCACCATAGCTGGAGACATGCACGCCATCATGAGGAAATCAGAGATGGCGAGATTGACGACGAGCAAGTTGCTCGGAGTGCGGAGACTCTTGGTGGTGGTGAATATGTATATCACCATGCCGTTACCGATGATAGAGACTGTGCCGAGGACGCCGATGACGAAACCGAGAAGCGCATGCCACAGAGGATTTATTGGCGGGAATTGGTACCAGTGAACGTCGACCATGTGGAGCATCTCCGGTGGCACTCTGTCGACCACCGTTTGATTACCAAATCCGCCTCCTTGTGCTGCCCACGTGTAAGCTGCATGACTTGGTCCGGATATGAAAGACATGGCGAACTGCGAGAAAATCTCTATGTATTATTAATTAATATTCTCTTATGCGATTACTTATACAATGTTTATAGTCTGGACTGCTTAGCGCTAAAAGAATTTGAAAACAAAAATACGAAACAAAGATAGGAAGTTACTCAACATTAGCAAGTTTGAAGCTTCAAATTTTCACATTTTCTTGCAGATAATAAACGATGAAAAAAGAAATTCAGACAAACATAAATTGTGACTTGCCTCCGTTCGTACTACTTGGATAAAATCGTCGTGGTGAACGAACTAATCCAAGTAAACTGTAGAATCGTCGGCGTAATGTCTTGTAACGGCCTATCCGTGAAGACGCTTGCAGGTAGAGTTCCCTGTTCGGTCCACCATCGGCTGCGGCTCGAGGCTGCGCGACGACAATTCGCGCTTAAATATACTTCGCAATCTTACGTGTTTGCGACTATATACAACACTTTTCTAAGTCGACAAACAGTCTTAAGAAGTTCTCTATTGGATTACGCAGGATTTGGGAATACCTTGAGAGTACCTTGAGTTGCCGCACACAGAAACCTTACGAGGGATACAACAAGAATAGAATGCAAAAATCGCTCGTTGATACAAATTGATCATAATCAGCAATTCAGTATCTGACTAAATGAATTTTCTAATTGTTGAAGGATCAGAGATTTATATTAAAATAATATTATAAATAATTCTAACAAGTACTTGGTTTATATATATCTTATATGAATCTTTTTTATAATTTCAAAGGTAGATTGGGAAGGAATGTAAATTATAAAGGCAAATAAATATATAAACTTTTATTTTATTTAAGGCCCTTGAGTAGTCATCACAGGAGAGTTATTTTGGATCATCAGAAATAAAACGTAAATTATTTACGTTACGTGCCAATTATAAATAAAGACAATTTAGAATAAAACAAAATAAAATCGCGTTTTAAAACAATTATAAAAAAAATTAACGAAAGCTATTTTTATTCTCTTAACAATCAGTAAATAATTGCAAAGACAATAAAAGGCACGTAAAACTGAAAATAGGCTACGCATGCGCATTAAGTATAAGTACTTTACATGCTTTTTGTCGCTTTTTATGATTATTTAGTAACTGTCACAGGGGGTAAAGATAAGGTTCGTCCATTTTTACAATTATTTTAAAACGATCTCATCATTTCATTTTATCCAAGTTGCCTTCATTTTACAAATGACATGAAAAATAAAAGTTAACGTGTCATTTCTCACTTCTGACGTGACAAATCACGATACAATATGGCTGTGTTAAAGCCTTTAATATATTTTTTTATATAACATTTGTATTCTATAAAAGATATTAATGTTTAATTTATATATAACGAATTATATTAGATATGTATATGTATGCAGTATAAAATCATGTGTAGTATTTATATAATTATATGTAATGAACTCGTCGATTTCGAATAAAATACTGCGCGGTTAAATTCAAACGTGATCGATAGTGAGATCGAAATGAATAAACTTCGAGATAATTACGTGGAAATTCGAAAGCGATTTAAAATGGCCCGAGTCGGTTAGGTTAGTGCGTCCCGCCATAAATGATGGGTCGATGACAGTATCGTGATGATTCGTAATAGTATTTACATCAACAGCAGATACTTTCAAAAATCAATTCGACAGGTATGTACACAAAAGAAAAACAAAGTGTGTGTTTTTCTTTTGTGCGTAAATATTTTTAACAACTATTATAATCAACAGCTATGGAGAACCTCGAGGACAACTTGCTGGACGATGGGGATGGCGTCGGGGAGGTGACTGCGCAGACGGTGCTCCAGGAGATCGAAAACGCCTGGATGAACGAGAGATTTGCTCCGGAGATTTTGCCGCATCAGTCCGACCTGGTGGACTGCATGCTGCAGCAGATCGCGCACATGGAAGAGAATATCAAGAGGTTAGACAAAAACGATCTGCGAGCGCTAGTCCACCGGATGGAGCTCGATCGGATCAAATACATCATCAGCAGCTACCTGCGAGCACGTCTGGAGAAGATCGAACGATATACAATTCATATCCTGTCGGAAGAGGCAAGTAGAAGTCCGGAAGAGGCCTATTTGACGCCAGGTGAGTCGCATTTCGCTAAAGAGTACCTGGCCAATCTGGAGACGTTCTTCAAGACGGTGGCGTTGCAGCACATGCCGCCTAACTTTCAGCGATTTGAGGCGAACAAGTTTACCATTAAACCCAATCTGCAAGCACATGTGTTCCTGCGTGCGAATCAAAGTGTTACTGGCATAGTTCTACCTGGTATGCTGAATGAAGAGATAGACTTCGAAGAAGGTTCGCAGCATATTATACAGTATAATGCCATAGCGCACTTGGTTAAGTCTGGTGTAGTACAGTTGATTTGATATTCTTAGGACAAGGAAACATAGCTAAGAAAAGAAAAAGGTTGTGATATATTTCTTTATGGATCAGTATGTATATCTACTTCTATTTATTATATCATTACAAAATCTCAATACAATTTTATATATATATATATATATATATACACATTCATTAAAAAAAAATCTTTAATGTTTCTCTCTCTCTCTCTCTCTCTCTCTCTCTCTCTCTCTCACACACACACAAACACACACAACTTGTATATAAAATATCAAAATTTATATCATTAAGTAACATATTATTTCTTACACAGAAGTTTAACACTGTTTACAGCAGAGTTAGAAAATAATGTGTTATTTGTAACACTGTTACTGTTACAACTATTTTTTTTATAGCTGTAACGAATTCATTTGTTAATTGTTACTTTGTACATGTACAACTTCGGTCGAAAATATAATATCATTATCTTATTAACTAGCATTTTAGCTCAAAATTTAATTTATGGCATTTGTTATAGATTATTCTTCATTTCAAGACCTTTTTAAACTTATGTATAAATCTGATAACCAATAGATAACAATGCAGATAAAAGAATTTTAGATAAATAGAAAATAAATGCTTAATATTTTTGGCCAAGATTATACATGTATACGGAACTTACATAAACGAATTTCAATAGAACAAAACATTATTTGACCATATTGCGATTAATTGCAACTATCATAATTACTATAGATCTTGTGTTAAATTGCTCAATTAGTGATCAAGACAATTTTACGCTACTATAAAAAAGGCGTCATCAAAATTTAGTGGAAAACTAACAAAAATTGTGCTTTTTCAGAATTTTTCGAACGAAATTGATATTTGTACGATATTCAAATAGTATTAAAATAGTATTAATATAAAATAGTATTAAAAGTGTTAAAATCTTTTTCAAACATTTATACAATTTATAAAAATACAATAAAGACCTTATTGTGTATAACTGAAAAGAAAAACGATAAATTTACATCGCAATACACAGATAAGCAAAGAAGGCCAGTCAAAAGATCTTAATGTCCAATAATATTTTAGTATGACTCTTATAATTTCTAATTCAAGCAAACTACGCACCAATTATTTGTTGTATTGAAACAGTCCTAAACTAAAACTAGAGTACGCGATATTACAAATTGAATTGATAAGCAATTTAATAATGTTGATGCTAATGAGCATTTTAAAACAATACAAAAAATTATTGTGAAAAGTATTACCTCAGCAAGGATTTCTCAACGAGGACTTCTCTATATTCCATAACGGCATTTTACCAATTCTATCATCAAAATGATAGGAATATTATTTCTTTACACAAAAATATTTATTAAAAAATTAACAAATAAATACAAATTATTTAAAATAACTAAGTACTAAAATCTGATAATTTTCGTTATCACTAAAAATATTGCTTAAAAAAATAAAAACATTGAATTAAAATTAAGTAAAAAAGTATAAGTAAATTTGTTCGTTATTAACACAAATCTTGTAGTATACTTCTAGAGAAAATTACAATAATCCATGCTGTCGATCATATGCCTGTAAACAAGGTATTACATTTAAATATTAAAAAAATTTTTTTTTTCAATTCTTATCTCCATATGTAATAGAACCTCAGATAGAGCGATTGATTTACCTCTTTGGCACATTGCTTAAGTTGTTCCGTCATAGTCTTTCCAGTTTCTTGCACCATACTACTGAAATGACCTTGTTCATTTTGCAACAAAATATACGGATGATCAAATTCTAACATTTGACCTTGATCCATTGTCAGTACTTTATCGTTGTCCATTATCGTGTTCAATCTGTGTGCTATTGTTAAGACCGTGCAGTCTTCGAACTTCTTTCGGATCGTGGTTTGTATGAGTGCGTCCGTTGTAGGATCCACATTGGCAGTAGCTTCGTCGAGCACAAGTATTTTATTAGCCTGTAAAATTGCGCGAGCTAGGCAAACCAATTGTCGCTGTCCGACGCTGAAGTTGCTGCCGTCCTGCTCGACGTGATAGTCTAAGGAGCCTACCATGTGTTTCAATTTCACTTCTTCTAAAACACTCCATAGATCAGCGTCATGAAACTTATAAAAGGGATCGAGATTATCTCGAAGCGTAGAGGAGAATAATACTGGTTCTTGAGGTATTATAGAGATTTTATTCCTCAAATCGTGAAGACCAATCTTCTTCGTATCAACGTTATCGATGTAAATAGTGCCGTCGAGTTTTGCCATACGAAACAAGGCAGCGATCAGGGATGACTTTCCTGCTCCAGTACGACCCACAATTCCAACCTAAAAAATATAGAGAGAACGATTTAAAATAATTCAGAATATAATTGTAATTATTTGGAATGATTTAGGATTATTTGATAACGGAATTATCATTTGTACAACAAGTAGTAATTACCTTCATGCCAGGTTTAATAACGAAACTGAGAGATTTTAGAACGGGTGGTTCAGATTCGGAATATCGAAGATAAATACGGTCAAATTTAATTTCTCCCTTAGAGGGCCAATTAGACAACGGTTTATCTATAGGATTACTTTCGAACGGACCCTCTTTCTCGAGCTCGGTGAATTGCATTATTCTTTCTACACTCGTCATCTGTGTGATCGTTTCGGCGGTTTGACGCATTCCATACTGTACCATACCGCATAAAATGAGCACTTGCGAAATAGCTAATCCAACATATCCGGCAAAAGTGTTTTCTAGTGAAAGCAACAAGATCTGTAGATATTCTATTATTACGAATGCTTTATATATAATAATTGTATAACAAATATTTACCATCGTTGAACGCAATAAAACTATACGTAACAACGGCGATAAATCCAACAGATACTATGTCCAGCGCAAAACCGAATACTGTGCCAGTTGCAATAATTAGTGAATAGGTACTAGTATGTAAATCTTGATGTTCGTCGAATTGTTTGCGAATCATCTCTTGGATGCCGGTAGAACGTATTGTCGTCAGACCTGACAATGTAGCGTTTACATGCGAGAACATAGGACTCTTCGCTAAAAATTTAAACGAACGTTAATTTTGGACACAAAACATAGCTTCAAATTGTCTAGAGAAGGAAAGTAATTTACCAATTCCTTCCAACCGTTTTGTGGTTCGCGCTATTGGAAGATAAATTTTTCTTATCATGCCAAACAAAAAAACCATAATGATTACAGCAAATATAATCCACCAGTTGATAATAAATACTTGCACCAGAATTCCAATCATCACCGTAAATATTTGAATGGATAATGTCATAGTGGTGGGCAATATTTCATCTACTGCGCCCATATCCTTTGAAAATCGATTTAAAATTCGACCTAGGAAAATACAATTCTTATCTACTTGTCCCGTTACATTACATAATAATTGCTGATTAAACACTAATTCGATATACTTTACCAGATGGGTTATTATCAAAGAACGACATTGGTGCTTTAAGTACACACGAAAACATGAAATTATGTAAATTCTTGCTGGCGTTCATACATATCTTGAAGAAGATTAAATTTTTCATTGTCGTTACCACAGTGCTGATAATAATAAAACCTCCATAAATCCATAAAGCTGTATTCGTATCAAAATAGTATATGTTTTCATCTATAATTTTGATCTAATTTGAAATAAAGTAGTAAAATATTTACGATACAATTACAAGATATACTCATATTGTAGAAAAGTAGGAAATACTAACAGTTATTAATAGTAAAATTTTGTGACGATATAGTATCATTGGATATATTCTGTTTATAATAATCTGTGATCGTTAGAAATTCGGTGAGGTCGTTATTAATATCTGATGCATTTTCTTTTTGTCCAGTAGATTTCAGTGTGGAAGAAAGAATTGTAAAATTATTCGTTATATGCTGTAGTTCGCGCATAGCTTTGATACGCATCTCTTCTTGCCTCGTCCTGCGTCATAAAATTTATTATATCTAGAAATAGATTCTTTTTCATAAAAACTTACCAATAACCGACCCAGTAATCACAACCATTACTTCCAATTTGTCCCAAGATCAAGCAAAATAAAAAACTGACAATCATGATGATCGAAGCACCACTACGAAGATATTTCCAATAAATTAATGTTGATAAACTTCCTTTAGCCAGAAGCTCCTCGGTTTCTTGAGGCTCGGCTTTCTCCATGTCTTCATCATTGACATTACTATTTTGAATTATATCAGACATAGGATTTGCATAAGTTTTTAATGCTTCTTTCGTCTTTTCGTTAACTTCTTCGGCTTTCATTAATATTTCCAAAAAAATTGCACGTTTTTCTTGAAGGGCTGCAAACGTACCTTCATCTTCAATTTGACCCTTTTTGAAAAAAAATTTATGTAAATAAATTTCATACATTATAATAATGTATGCAAATGTATTCACATAAATAATTATACATATATACATTGTATATGTAACGTAATATTTTACATACATTATTAAGAATAACAATGTAATCGCATTGTTTCAAATACTGCAATTGATGAGTCACGAGAATTCTTGTCTTGTTTCGCAAATAATTATTCATACATTCATTAAATAAGTGTCTACCAACGTGAGTGTCAACAGCTGATAAAGGATCATCGAAAAGATAAATATCAGCGTCTCTGTAGATAGCTCTATAAATCAAATAGCAAATTATGTAAGAGTATTATATATAGTGTTATATATATTATATTTAGTGTTATATACATATATATATATATATATACCTGTTTTGCAGGTAGACTGAAATTTACCTTGCTAGATTAATTCTCGCACGTTGTCCGCCACTAAGTGCTGTACCTCTTTCACCGACTAAAGTCTTATCACCGTACGGAAATTGTTCAAAATCTTTCGTAAGAGCGCATACATCTACAACATTCTGATATCTATTATTGTCATAAGGCTGACCAAATAAAATGTTATTTCGCACTGTGCCTGTGAATAGCCAAGGTTCTTGGCTAACATATGATATTTTACCATTTATGTGGATTTGGCCTTGCGATGATTTCAGTTCGCCTAAAATTGCTTGCAGAAAAGAACTCTGAAAATTAAATACGCAGAGATTTTCTTAAATAATAAATGTTAAAATTCGCTTTAAATAAAATATTACACACACACACAAATATACAAAGTATACACAAATATTCAATAGATATACCTTGCCTGCGCCTACAGGACCAATGATAGTGTAGAGTTTTTTGTCTTTAATTTGAATGTTGATGTTATGTAATGTATTTGCAATTGTAGTAGTTGTCCATGAAGCACTAACATTTTTCATTAAAATACTTATGTCTTTAACAGTTGATAAAGATTGTGTCAATGGAACGTTCTCGTTCAATAATAGGAAGTTCTAATAAAAAATATAATTATTATCTAACTATAACATCGCAATTAATTTCATAATAATGATTTTTATCTAATGTGAAAAGTATAAGTATATTCGATAACAAATCATCATTCTAACTGTCTAACATATTAAAACATGAAGACATCTATCTCAGATGATATTAATTGAAGCAACACACTTACAAAGAATCTGTCACACAACTATTTGAAAGCGGCTCGAGTTTGCTTAATATATTAGGTCTGTTTTTTGTTCCTGCACTGTCTGAAATAGTACACACGGTGCAATAAGTTAAAATGAAACAAACGTATATTTACTTCAACTTATTGCACCGTGTGCACTAGTTTAGACAGTGCAGGAACAAAAACAGACCTATTGTTAAACACAAAAAAGACACATATTTTTTTATTTCAGTTCAATTTCAAATTTAATTGGTAAAACAACCCATGTATTTCGATTTTTTAAAAATCTAATATAAAGGATTGTAAACCCTTAAAATCAAGAAGACTGGACCTATATAAAAAAATATCTAATACCATATTCTTTTAGATTTTTCTGTTTAACAATACCTTTAAGGAGAATCGAATTCGGATAGCTATGACAGATTTCTTATCAATCAAAGAAAAAGCAATACGGTATAAAAATGAAAAAATTTAAGAAATTTTAAATGCTTGAAACGCAGTCAATATATTATGATTTAGAGATGTTTAAAAAACTAAACTAAAACTTGAATATATTTGGAGAAATTATTAGTCCCAATTGAATGTAATGATTAATTTTCCAATGACGGATGACAGAATTAAGATTTGCAAAATTGATAAATAGAAAGTCCAGAGTCCAGTTCCCGGAGTTGCATAGAATGAAACAGAGCCACTTGATGTAGCTCAATGTAATTAAAGAAAAACATGAAAGTTCTAAATCTCTCCAAAATGCGTTTATGCAAAATTTTTCGATAATTATTCTGAATTATTTCAATTTAAAAAAAGTAATTTTTATTTAAAATAATAATAAGAGGAGGACGAATTGCGATTTTTAACGCCGCGGCGTTAACGCATTTGACATCACATTCTCGTGTGCGTGCGTGCGTGCGTGCGTGTGTGCGTATGAATGCGTGTGCGCACACGCAGAAATATGGCAGAGAGGGTTTGAAGTTCATTAATTCAAAAGCTGCACAAGTCACAAACTGTAGAGTCTTATCTTCACTGACAAATACACGCACACATAGACCCCTTTTACACTAAGCATTTGATATGCATACTAACTAGTAACTTTCTTTAAAGATACTAATGTCAATTAGCAATAGATAAAAACAGCAATAATCCACACTCTGATATCTTTAAAGATAATACCCGTGAAAGCCACAAATATAGTTAATATCCACATTATGCATGATGTAAACTAGGCCATACATACATGTATGGATGTGATTTCAAATAATAAACACGATATGTCTTGAATAAAATTGTAGTGGTTCGAATAGATAATGATAGCATTACAAATCACAATTATTATCAATATTTCGTATCAAGAGTTATGTTTTATTTTCAGATTGATGTAACGAAAAATTATCATATCGAGTAAAAGCGCATTTTGAAGAGGAGAACTTATGCTTATTATTCTATTTCATTCTATGCAACTCTGGAAATTGGACTTCCTATTTATCATGTATAATTTTGCAAGTTCTCAATCCATCATCCGCATTGGAAAATTAATCTCATTCAATTATTACTTAATTCAGCATTATTTTATTTAATTATTAATTTAATTCGGCGTTTTAAAAGTTTGAAATTTCTTAAATCTTTAAAATGTTTGTAATAAGGCTCTCAATATGTTTTTAACAACTAATATAGAGAAACAGGGCAATGAGCCAGTAAATATATTAAAAATCTTTTTAAATTAATTTAATATATTGCGATCTTAAATCTTTCTTATATTTCTATTGTATCGCTCTTTTTTTTTACTTAAGACGTACCAATCATTTGTTACGTGACTGATTTATAATATTATTTTTTTTTTTAACTTCAAAGTTGGTCTAAACTTATTGTTAGTAAATTGATCTTACCTCAATTCTTTTTATAGACACTGCTGCTTCAGCAGCACCCGCCACAGCCATAGGATAAAATATCGCCATGGTAAGTTGAAGAATATTAAAATATTGTGCCAATGAGAATACTTTATCCGCTGATATAGAATGCCCATAAAGTACATAGGCCATAATTGTGAAATACAAGGTTGTTCTTTCCGTGAAAACACAAGTGGCTAACGTAAAACCTCTTAGATACGATATCAGCGTGAGAACATCGATTTCGTATCTAGACGAAATAATGTATTTATTATATTATATTTCTTTGTAATAACAATGAAACTGAAATATGTACGAACTTTCTTGCACGATTAACTAATTCCGCGAATGGTTTCTCCCAAGTGTACATTTTAATAACTTGTATGCCCTTAATTATTTCAGACATCAAACGAATTCTTTCGTCGGTTCTCACTGCGATTTTTGAACGTAACTTCGAGGTACATTTGCTTATGTATCCTGCAAAGTATGTAAAAATTAGTAACTTAATCATTATGCGCATTTGCAACTGTACGTTACCTTGAAGAGGAATAGTCTGAATTATTATGAGAAATACACCGGCTAACGAAGCGATGCCGACGCTTTGCCATATCAAAAATGCAATTATGGATCCTTGTATAGGCAGGATCCAAATGTAATGTAATGTTGTAAACAATTGTTCGAATTTTGACATGTCATTTGATAACAGATTAACAATTTGTCCTGGAGAAGTGATTGTAGAACTGGATAAGCGTAATATCTACAGAGAAAACAGAGATATTTAAGAGATTTTTAAGAGAATAGACAAAAGATCTTTAAAATACTAACTAGTCTAATAGATACCTTCCTGTATATTAAAGAGGAGCTTGCTATTCTCACTCGCATTCCAATCTCCATTAAACCCAGATTCGAATGATGAGTTATCATCACCACCATTATTGTTAGAATTATCATACCAGAAGCGTAGAGATATGCTTCTTCCTGGGTAGACGCTGCTCTTGGATCAAAGTGCCAAATGAACAAACCCAAAATATATATTTGCATAGTTCTGTAAAACGTATTTTTATGAACAATTAACAATGAGATCATTATAATATGTAGTTTACCTCACAACAACAGTTAACATTAAAATCCATCCTCCATAATAAAAAAATGACCATATAAATGTTTTTTTCAAAGCTGTAAAAAATTTAGGCTTTCTACTGTCCTCCTTAGCTGCGTGCACTTCATTTTTCCAATTTCTAAAAACATCTATGTATTAGAAAAGTGGTGATAACATTATCAATAATTTACTTATAAATTAATTATTGACTTAATCCAATGTAATCTCAATATGTGAATTTATTTTAAGGATGAAATCATTTACTCTTCCAATTTGTTTCCCAAAAATTCACTATTATCAGCTGGCATAATATTATATACATTTGTCATCTCCAAGTCATGATCTTTTCCATACCAAATTATTCTTGCCAACCACCTTAAATATAATATAATAAGAAATTATGTAACACATGTGAAAAAGCATTTGGTTTTGTAAGATAGATATTCAACGAGACTAGATGTTCTGTTTTCGAGCAGAACAGTCCAATTGTCTCGTTGAATATTGTTCTGATATTAGCAATAAAAAAATTCTACTAAAAAATACTTTATAAATTTTGTCAAATTCTGTTGCTGTCTTAACAAATACATATATGTCTATTGCTGTGATTTTGACTAAAGTTGCTAAGAATTTTACATTTTTTAATTTTACTTTCTTATTAAAATAAACATGTTCGAATATTAAAATAATCATGCTGCTCTTTAAAATAAATTAAGTGTTATTATGATGTTTATTTTTGCAATCATACACCTCCCCTTCAACAGAAAATTATTTTACTTAAGATTAAAAAATATATCACATATATAGACGTTTTGTATTTTTATTATATAAAATGTACATTCATAATAGTGCTAATTCTAATAAAACTAATTCTGTTAAAATATGTCAAGCGTACTACAAAGTGTGAATATATTTGTATTTGTATAACAGCATGATATACAATCTGAAGTACCGCATGAAAGTCAAGTTTAAGTATATACGTATGTATGTATATACATATGTGTTAATAAGATACAGAAAAGTTACATAAAAAATTGTTTCAGCCAGAAATGATAATGGACGTCCATTTGATAATTTCGACATTGAATCAACGTCATTCCATTATCATTTGACCATTCTAAGATAATTTCGGTCAGGAACGGACATAATTTGCTTATTATAGTTACAGAAATAATATTTATCAATTATTTAATAGATTAATTATTAAATTAAATTGATATCCGCTCAAACAATTAGTATAGCTCAATTAGTTTTTGACCTGGGAGGTATATTAAGTTTAATTCAATAAATTATGTCAAATGCATATGTATATCATTTTTATTTGATGCTTATCACTTCCGTAATCTTATCTTGAAATTTCTGATAACTCAAACTAAGACAACGTTGAATGATTCAAGTCTAGATAAAATAGAGATAAAATAGTGGAAAGTGATCAATGTTAAATAAGAGTATCACGTAATATTTAATATAATAGTACTATTTTACAAAATTTCAGAATTAAAAAACGCACAATAAATTTTTTACAAAATATATTAAAATACAAATATTTTTTTAATCGGTAGAACAGTTATATATTAAATCAAAAATTTCTTTATTTTTGTTTCGAAAAAAATAATCAAATTACACTTATTTCCATTTTATTTTTTTAAGGTTTCTAACTTAACATTAATATTTTAATTTATACAGTAGTGCTGAATGTTACGATCATGGAAAGTAATTTAATAATATTATTGATGCAAATTTTGTTACAACTATGTACATAGCTGTTTCATTTTCGGATTTAGTAATGTTCGGAGTTGTAATATACTTATATAACTACATCACTTTTATGGACTGCTGGGGTATCATAAAACCAGATTTAAGTGTTTATATATAACATTTTACATCAGTATTCAATTAAAGATTAACTACTGAAAAGATTAATAACTGAGTAAAAATGTTTTCCATAGTCTTCAATGTTCTGTCTGGATATGTATATATAAATACTGTGTCTATGTTATTTCCTAATTACGAAATAAAAAAGAATTTTCGGTATATATTTTCTAAGTCTATTTTATTGATTGCAAATGTTATTTTATTGCATAATATTTTCATTTAATGTATTTTACAAGAATTGTTGTCGTATGTTTTCTCATTTATTCTAATACTACAATCTGAGATAAATTAGATATTCATTCGATTTCAGCTTATATGTGCTATTAGTTTATACCTTACTCTATCTTTATTATAAATTACTCGCAAAAGGAAGATAAAGTTTTCCAACAAGCGACGTTGGATAATACACAGTGATCATTTTATCTTTGTTTAATATTGGTAAACAATAAGGATATAGTGACAATGGAATCGTCAAATTGACATCGTGTCATTTCTTACTGGGTAGCTCACTGTATATGCTTTCCATTTGGTAACACAAATTGACAGAAGTGTCTTTCTATCTTTGTTACTCTTTGAATGTCAAAAAAAGATAGAATGATGTTTTTGTATCAATTTGTGTCACCGAATAAAAAGCACTCTGTGTTTTATCAGACCTGTTTTTTTTAACTTCTCGTACGATTTTTTTTCTTTTTTTTTCTTCAAGTGGAAGGAAAAGATAGATGAACCATGCAAGAATTAACTTTAGCTAAAAAAAAATCCAAACAAATCTAAAATTGTGACATAAGATGTCTTGAAGTCGTCTTTCAGACGCAAAAAACCGTCTTGATCTGATTTTAGACTTTGTTGTCTGGGGATCTACTGTCATTTGAGTCTCTTATTAGAAAACTCAAACTGAACACGTAGAAATCGGACGTACATAGCTGTAAATAGCAGTTTTTTTCCGTAATTATATAGTGGCATCCGATATAGAGTGACATGGCTATTTTTTTTTTAAAACAATATCAACTGATAATGATAAGGGAGTTTCAAAACGCCAGCCTTGAATTTGCGTTTTTATATGATTCTCTATCGCACGTTAATTCCTCGACAAGACAGTAATAATATGTAACAACTCGAAGTGCTTTTTCATAAATTCATACTGACGCTCGACGCTCATTTTTAGCGTCAAAATATGGGTCACATGATCAAACTTGACGTTTGATACTCGTCAATTTGCATCATATGATCTGTTTTGACTAAAAATGAGCGTCGAGCGTCAGCATGAAAAAGCACCTTCGGACACTGCGACTTAGAAAAATCGATTGTCTTCTCGTAATTACATGCGACATTGTTGTGCTTGTTGAGATCATAATTCAAGAATAATCGATTTAAACGTCATAAACATTCATGAATCATATGGCAATACATATATCTTTTACTTTGATCAATTTAACTGTGACGCAAAAGCGACTCTCACCAGAAGAAAAATTTACTAATCGGATTCGCAGATACTCGTGGATTTGGATTGTTAACTTTCTTTGCGGCATCCATGTTCTGATCTTGACGCGAAAAAATTTCAGTGACTATATCTCACTGTTACCGTTACTATGTTATGCTAGCACTGCCTCCGACTCACTCCAAGCCACTCCAAGCCCCAACTGCCTCATGCATAGCACGTGCCTAATCTTTATATATCGCACATGCATGCATACACACACATATATGCACGCAGTATAATTCATCACATTTGTGTATATAAATCAGACAAATTGAGTTGTTACAAATTATTACTGTCTTGTCGAGGAATTAACGTGCGATAAAGAATCGTATGAAAACGCAATGAAAAAATGTTTTGAGATATATGTTACATAATAAATAAGCTGCTTAGAGTCTTATTTATAGCTATTTATATGATATATGTAAGACGCTATGTAGTACTTTAATTGCCGATCGAGTTAGTATATAAAATGAAACCTCTTAATTGAATTGTTAAACCTTGTATTTAATTTTATTGTTGCCGTCATGTTCTCATCACGATGTATATACAATATATATATATCAATAATATATGCCTGCAATTAATATGATCATAGCAATGCAAGTCGTTTCATCTTCATCATCACGATGAGAACATGACCGCAACACAAATAAAAGTTAAATACTAGGTTTAACACTTTATATAACTAACTCAATAATTATAATATATATTGTTTTTAAAATATACTAACTAAAAATATACATATTATAATATATACTAACTCAACAACATATATATCGTTTGCTCTTGATAATTATAACTGATTGCATGTGATAAACAATATATAATATCATGTTGCTGCATTCGTGTAAACATGTTATTCTATAAAGGATCTTCTTTAATTAATGGCTCCCGCCTCCAGTTAATGAATAGGAGGACGATACGGCATTCTATAAAGAATGCGTTTTATTTAACGTGTTCGCAACGCTCGCGAGCATAATTTCTTTCTTGTTTAATATTTGAAAACGATAAAGATGAAATAATGTTCGCGAGCGTTGCGAATGTTAAATGACACGCATCTTTATTAAGTGTCAGCAAATGTACGGCAAAAACATCAAAATAATTTAGACATGCAATGCTTTATTTACTCAATATAATTATCATTGAACAACTAACGCTAAATATTCAAAGAAAATTCGATTCATATGATATTTCCAATATATACACATCTGTTAAATATTCCGGAACAGTAACAGAATCATACAATTATACAAAATATGCAAATATTGAAATGTTCACAATGATCACCAACGCCGATTAACTTAATCGACGATTAGTCCATTGGAATTGACCAATCGCGTCTGTCGTCGAAACTAAATGATAAATGCGATTGGTCAATTCCAATGGACTAATCGTCGATTAAGTTAATCGGCGTTGGTGAAAGAGGCCCTCAACTGTATGGAGCGGATTTGTGAGCGCTCGCTGCTATTGGTGTATTCTTTTAGATCATCCAATAGCAGCGAACGGATCCGCTCCGCAACAGTTGAGTCTGCTGGGTATCGATCATGAAACTTTTTCCGATCTCAAATAACAACGAGCGCTCACTCAATTGTTTGAGTCCGCTGAACGCGCCCATTGTAATTGACGATTGGGAATTAAGCGGGGAGCACAGACTCTTGCATAACGGATAATCCATAGTGCATAAGAGAAACAACCAATCTGAATCCCTCCTTTCCTTCCATTTCATGGAAAAGAAGAACTTTGATTGGCTGATTCTCTTATGCACTATGCGTTATGAAAAGCTTGTGTCTGGGCTCTTACATTTTAACCAATCAGAGCAAAGCAGTCACCGATTGCTTTGTTCCGATTGGTTGAGAAATAATCCTCAATCGTCAGTTACAGTCGCTAGGGTGATTATGGCTTAAGGCCGTAAGCAAATCGGCCAATCACAGTTTAGCGTATTAAAATGTGAGATCGTAATCTTGATTGTGATTGGTCGATTTCCTTAAGACCTTACGATTACCAATATCTCGTTTCGCGGCATTGTCCTCGTTTTTTCTTGTGCAAAAACGTGGATAATGCTCTTGTATAATTATTTTAATAATTGTTGACATTCTTCAATCGTTGTAAACGCATTCTGGGCTGCGTTCAGAAATTACGCCTAGGTAACTCTAGGCTATAGTTTACGTTACGTTACGTATATTATATCAAAAATGCACCCAAGAGTTATCTGAGTGTCATTTCTGAACGCACCCCTGAATATAGGCCAAAGAACAAACTTATGTGTTTTCGGTTTCACAGGACTACCAACGTTTAAAAAAAAAATTAACTGTGAGCTAACCCTGTTTTGAATGTATTGTGTATTTATTATTTACAACTTACAGTTAGATCGATTTTGACTTGTCGTTTATCTCGCTTATAAATTGCAATTATAAATGAAATTGTACATATTGTGTAAGGACGATTGTAAGCAATTATGCAGTGAAAATTACACAAATACGCGCGAAATATATAAGCTCGTAAATATAATAAGCGAACGCGCGATGAGTGGCGGTTTTCCTTTAGAGGATTTTTTCAAAGACTTCTTCACGTACACACTGTGCAAATAAGTCTTTAAATAATGGCATTTTCGTTTCGAGCTGGCACTAATTGGTGCCATGATTTCCCGAAACTCGCCAGGGAATCAGGATTTTACTTTAATATGCATGGATCCAGAGTACGAGTTGACTGGAATCGCATAGGTAAGTCAAGTGTTGTGACACAACAAAATATAAAGTTTATTATTGTGGATTACAATTTGCTTTTCTATTGTAGGTGCTATAGATATAGACAGAGTTATACGGGAAAGAGATTTCTCAAGTATAGATCAAAATATCAATAATGTGATAGATTATTGCTTAGAAAGTGAATACGATGTCAAAATCTTGGATCCTAGTTTTGTTAAGTTGTTTAGACTTGCACAACTGTCAGTCGAGTATTTATTGTATTGTAAACAGTATTTGGATCATAGTGTAATAATATTGAAGGATGAGCTAAGGCAGAAGATCGAACAAAATATCAATATGAAAAAAGAAATTGCTGCTTTGGAAGACACTGTAAAGAATCTAAAGGAGAGATCAAAGGAGAAACGTAAATTAATTGAAACTAGCATTGGTGAAATCTCTAATGGCGAAGTTTACAAAGTAAATTTCAACAAATTTATTTGTTAGGAATGAGATGAGTTCTGTTGATAATAAATAATAAATTGACTTTTGTTAGTTACAAATTATAAATTATGTTTATATATATATAAATTAAAATTTTATAACTCACAATACTATCAAAATCTAATTATAAGATTTCTTGTAGTGTCCACATTGCCCAAAAACTTTTGTGCGTGCTATATTTGTAAATGCTCACATAGCACGCAAACATTCGTACATATCAGACATGGGTGTATCTATCTCTCCTGTGCATGACCATTACCGAGCAGAAACAGAAAAATTACACAATGAAATAAAAACATTAAAGGAAAGATTGAATCAAACTGAAAGAGTAATAAGAAATGAATCTGATAAACTGCAGGATAATATAGAAAAGGATTATTCAAGAAACATAAGTAGAAACGAATATGATATTAGCAGAGTAGATAGATTTCAAGAACAAAGAAGATATCAAGAAGATATTGGAAGTTTGAAAAGCATGTTGTTTGATGAGATACGCGTGAGTTTATAAATTAATTAATTATTTATTCTATTCACAGGATTTCTTACAAATTACTTAGAACCTTTTTACAGGCATTAAGAGAAAAAGATCACGTTGTAAATGAGAGTATTCTAGAAACAAATGTGAAAACTTTAATTAGTCAACAAGAGAAAGAGATTGAGAATTTGAGAAATCAGCTTCTTGAAAGAGTAAGAAATAATAGTTTTTATTGTATAATACATCATTCTTATTAAGTATTAAGCTATATTAAATTATTTTGTTAGTTGACTCCAGGCATGGAAAATATGCAGGTAAAGCTACAAACGCAAGAGAATCATTGGAAAGCCAAAATAGAAGATATGGAAGCTCAACATCATCAAGATATTGAGAAATTAACGACAGAATTGAAAGCAACTCAGCAGATAGCTGATCATATAAAGTCTGAGTATGCGTCTAAGGTACATGACTTAGAGAAACAGTCCATGGATCAAACTAATATGTTGGTAGAACAGAGAAAACAATTAAACAGCTTGTCACGTGAGATCAATAATTCACAGACACAAATCAATAGTCATAAAATTAAGGAAAAGAACATGACAGAATTCCATAAATCTCCTTTATTAACAATAAAATATGATAGTAACAATGAAAGTAAAACTTATAAAAGTTTAAATAATATTGAAAATACTGAGATGGTCATTGAAGATGTTGGTAGTGAATCTAGTCAAGAGTATAGTGAAAAACTGATGTCGGTTATACCACGAATCCAAAATGTGCCTATTAAAGATAACACCTCAAAAAGCAAGGGTAATAAAAAAGTTGTTACTAACAGTAGGCCTGATAAACATTTGATTACTAAGTCTAATCTGAAAAAATCAGATAGATCAGAAGTTGTTAAAGAAACGAAAAATAGTACAAGGCATTATGATGTGTTGAATGACACAAGTGAAGTAAATAATCGCAGTATTATTGTTAAAAAAGATCCTATTGATGTAAATAAAAAATACGTAGATATTAGAGAAAAGAAAGAAACATTACATACAAATAATACAAAAAACAAGAGATCCGAATTTTTAGAAAAACGCAGTTTAAGTTCCATGACAGAATCTGGTTCTTTGTCGTCAATGTCAGAGTCGGGGACCGATAGTGAAAGTGTTACAACGGATGATGATTCAGTAAAAAAATATGAAACTCCTGCAATTAAAACGCCCAGTACCAGAAAAATGTCAATTCTAGAAGACGCGCGAAGTATGTTTGATAATCGATTGAGAGAATTAGGAATTGACCCAGAATGGCAAGGAATACCTGCGGCAACGTATAAACAAAAGATGGAAATTATAAAGCATCAGCAAAGTATTAACGCAAAGAAGTTAGTTCGGTATAATCAAATTAAACAGAAAATACTCGAAGACGTTCTTCAGAGAATATCAGCAAATCATAAAGAACCAAAATATTCTACGCTTACAGCTAAAAGTTTACCTTTGGATAAGCTGGTTACTCATGTTAAATCAAAAGCTTGGAAAGCATTCAATAAAGACAATGGTAGTCACATTTTCTACACTAAATCTCTAATACACTATGGATAATTTATATAATAGTAAATATGTAATGTAATGCAATCTTTTATTTTTTAGGCGAATATACATCTATCCAGAAAACAGAAAATACGACACCATTAAAATTACGTCTAAAGCAGAAGATCGAACTTCTTCCTAAAAAATACAAAGATGAGGTGCATGAAAATATACGCGAATCACCATTGAAGAAAAATGGAGCAGACACTTACACCAGTCCAAAAGTGACTCCGGTATATTCAAAATCGGTTCGAAGTATTTCCTCCGCAAGCTCCATTGAATCTCAAGAAGATATAAAACAAATTTCACCTATGAAGATAACTGTATCGGATACAATCGCAAGTAAAATGAATTCTCCAATCAGTAAGAAACAGATAGTAACACCAAAATTGTTTGAAAACAATGACTCAGACAGTACAATTATGCCAGACGATTCAGTTCTTTCTCCGAAAAATAAAAGTGTTTTAAAACCGACGAGTGGCTCAGTTGGTAGCTTAGTAAAGAAAAAAGTCTTATTCGATTTGAATGACAAAAAAAATGATGATACGTTGATAACAGAAAATGATCAAAGAAAGAATCAAATAAATAATGATTGGAAAGTATCAAGGTACTAAAGATTTTATATCGTAATTTTTATTATATATTATTTTTGTTACGTATACATTTGTTTATTTAAGTATGTAATTAATTCTTATTTTTATTAAGCTTTGCTGAGAACGGAGAATATGCATTGCAGAAAGAGAAATCTATGAGCACAGGCAACATTGTTTTAAAAACTTCACAAAGCGATAAAATCGCGGAAATATCCAAGAAGATACAGGAGCAGGTAAGATCATATTTTGTGTGTAATTATATGATATATCAGTGTGATATATTATTGAAATGACACTGTTATAAATTATTTTTTTAGTTGAGTATATCAAGAAAGCCACCTGCAGGATCGGTTGAAACCATCTTTCGAGTCAACACATCGACCTCACAGGATTTTATGAATTATAATGCAGAAAATCAACTGTTAAACTCGACCAGTCTTATGAGCTCGATCTTGGACAGTCCTATGCGAAATTTTACAAATCCGAAGGCGAAAGGCAACATATTTCCACAACCCGCTCCGCGAACTCTGAAAGATAAAGATTCCACTATTGTTCAACGTAAAAATGAAATAAAGTATTCTGATCTAGATTCAGATATTGATGAAATATTACAGATGGAATAAGGTATACCGATCCGTATTTACGATGTATATATATATATATATATATATATAATAATTTAAAGTTTTATATATATATAAAACTTTAAATTATTATCTCAATCTATACATTTTCCACACTGCTACTGATATCATAAATGGGATATCATACGTGTTTGTGTGTGTGTGTATAAAAAATTTATTGTAGTATTATAGTGTACATATGTGTTTAGAAATGGTTAAGTTTTATTTGATACATTTTGATGCAAAAACTACGAATTTTTAGTACAAAATGCACGCGTGTATATCAAAAAGTCTTTTACATATCTGACATACAACTTGAAATACACATCTGTTATATAGATTATTTTTTGGCCAGAACCTTATTTTGCTAGTCATATTGATACAAAAAATAACATACATATTCGGATTATATAATATATTTATATATTTTAATTTATTTTCTTATAGTTTATCACGATCATTATTTTGAGAAGGACAATCAATCTCCTGCAATTTTAATATTTTTCTGCGTTGGAGTTTAGATATTGATAAATTTCTGTAACAGAAAAATGTTCTTTTTGTGTTAACCAAAATGTTACGGCTTTGTATAAATGTCATGTACTCACTCTCTGATCTTATTAACGATACTTTCAAGCACAACGGGAATAGCCGTATGTTTAAAATGCTGCATTTCTGATAAGAAGATTGACTTTCTGTAAGGCAGATTTGTATACGATTCATGAATGAAGTTAATTAACGAATTAAAAGCTTCCATGTAATCATCCATAAGTAGCTATAACACAAAATAATTCATATCAGATGTATGATATTAAATGTAATTAAAATTAATTTAATATAGGAACAATAAATTACCACTAAAGTAAAGAAGCCAGGATGGCTTTCGTGGTAGTCCAAGTACAATTTCCTACTTTTTATAACAAGTTCTATATATATATTTTTTAATACTTTTGCTTTTTCTTCGTACGTTATCGTTTCTTGATGCTGTACATGAAATATTTATATTATTTATATTATATTTATATTATTATATTTATACAAAACAAGAATAACAATAAGAAAATGTTGAAAAAAGTTGTCTTATTGTGATGTTCCCTTTTTAAACTAAGCTTACATTACTGTTACAACATTGTTGTTTTTCTATTCAATGAAAGTACTTAAAATAATACATCTTGTATACATATAAATATGAAATATAACATTTTTTTTTCCGTGCGCCCCAAAATTTGTATTACAGTTACGTAAGTAGTATTGGTTTGATGGGATAATTTTTCGCGAAATTCAAAGCACATACAATGTCCATTATTTCTTCGGAAGATGTTGATTCGCTGAAATTATCGTTATCAAACTGGTCAGGCATGTCCATCATCAATATAATTCGACGTTGCAACATTTTCGACCTATGCTTTTCACGTTTTGTCTCTTTATCATCGATAATAATATTCGATTCCTCATCCAATAATACCTATTTACAATGCTCTCTCTAATAATGCAAATTATTCAAATTTCATTTAAATTTATGCTTTGTACATACTTTTAATTCTTCCGATGTTTGTTTTTTTTCTTCTGATGACAATTGATCGAACGATTTTATATCTTTTTCATTTTTCGTTTCTGTAATGCACTTTTTTTTCTGTGATGCTATTTCACTCCTTCGCAATACAACTTTCGGTAACATCGTCTTACTTTGTAATATTATATCGGTTGTTGTAGCCCCGTCTCCTTGTGGTCTCACGGAGATGTCGTAAATTGGAAATACTAGACGGCTCATTATCTGGCAACAAATATACGCTTCACAAAATTTCGTAGTATATTCCTAATGAACATTTTCTCCTAGAATTCTTTATATAATGTTTCAGAATTTTTCAGAATTTTTTTTATTATTTTAAAACCTTTTAAAAATTATCTCAAGTTTTTATGCAAAATTAAATACTTTTCAGAAATGCTCAAAAGGAGTTTACATCTAGAATTTTTTTATTCACGTGAATTCTGCAATATTACACTAAAGTTATTCATTCTATAATTTCTGAAAAATACTTATAAAATCAAATCAACAAGTGTAAGAGAAATAATTTAAGAAATTTTATTTAAAAATTTAAAATTAAAGCGAATTATTTATTTAATTTAAAATATAAAAAAAAAAATTTCAATAAATTATTTATTTAATTTAAAATATAAAAAAAAAAATTTCAATATGAATTAATGGAAATTTTGTTCGTCAGATATCACAGTAAAATTAAGCTTCAGTCGAACCTCATTCAAAATTTCTTCGATAAAGTTTAATATACAACTAGCGGTCTCTGTTTCTTCTTCACGATGCTTGCCTATTTTAACGGCCAACAAATTTTCTACACTATCTTTAATCCACGTATAAACGTCAAATTTCTCTTGTATCCAATCTTTGTGAAGATCGATACTTTGTGTAAATACCAAGATCGCTTTTACGTTCGGATATCGTTTAGAAATTTCAGTAACTGCGTATAGATTCATTTGAGTAAGTCCAATTTTGTGTTCAGATATCAATGGACTGATCTGATTTACATCTGTAAAAAGAATTATAGTTCCCAAATATAATGAAAATTTTTCTTAGAATCCTTTATAATTTTATATATAGTATTATAATTTCTTAGAAAATATCACAGATTTTTGAAACATTGGAATATTTTTTTTAAATATATCGAAAAAATCTGCACCTTTAATTTCTGAAACTATATTATAAATATAAATTCTTAAAAATTGTCAGAAATTTTTTTTAAGATTTAAAAATATTACATAACACAGTATTTCCGTTTAAATTAATATAAATAATATTGCACTAACGAAATCCATAACTATCGCCCAAGAGGTCCAGAATCACTAAAAATTCGCCACGCCGTGCCATATCATTAAACTCTTCCCTGTTTACAGGAATGTACGCTTTACGTTCGTCATCGTCTTCGCAGATCTCTTTTGTAGTATGCCAAAGACAATATTTTATCTGCAAGATTGTATTCTACTATTTCTTTGAAACTGAGCTCTAAGATAAAAAAGGATAAAAATACACAAGGATCACTTTATCGGGAATTGTTTGAGCCACATGTAAGGCTAGTGTCATTTTCTTCAGCGCCGACGGTCCTGTGAGTATCATCAAAGGAGGGCTGATTTCATCATACGGTTGAACGTGAGCATTTATCTTATTAATATTTAAATGTTCTAGTAAAGTTAATTTTGCTACTTTACGGGCAGCTATCAAGTCCAATGGCGAGGCAAACAGCATAGCCGATGTCACCTGAAACAAATCTGGTAAAAATTTTTTCATACACGAATATATAGTACTATATAAATACGTATAAACGTACATAAATGGAAGAGATAAATCTTTTGCACCTATTTTATATATATGTATATAATTGAAATCGTCTACCCAGACAGCACAGAATATTTATGATAAAAAATATTATTATTCATTTTTTAAATGTCAAATATTTTAAATATATTTTATATAAAATTTTATTCGAAAATTATTAAAATATAGACTAAATATTTTATGTAATATTTATAATAAATATAAATATTTCTAATAAGTACCTATTTTTTATTTGCGAATTGTAATATCTCATGGCGAGTATTTTTATACTTTTATAGCATAATAAATGTTTCAGAATATTTGTAATAAATGTTTATGATTTATGCAATTTAATACCACAAAAATATTTACAAAATATTTAAAATAAATCTTATAAATATTTAGAAATATTTTATAAATATTGTGTGCTATCAGGGTAATACCTTTTCTTCTGGAAAGACCTGAACGCCGTCAATGAATTTAACGCTTGATATAGAAGATATCAATACATTCCGATAATTGGGCCACTTTGTGCAGATGTTGCCTCTAAAGTCAACCTCAAATATCAAGCCTTTCAAATTTAATACCTCCATTAAATCAGTGATTCTATTGAACTTTAGATCTACGAAGCGTAAGGTGTATGCATCCTGAAAATTATTTAATTAAAACAGGATCTAGAAATACTTTGGCGTGTAATCCGTTCTTTCGCGATGATCACTTTGAAAAAGCCCAGGGTTGACAATCTATTGTATCCCAGGAGAATTGTTCGTAAATTAGGCAACGTATTTATGCCATGACCGGGGATGGCAGATTTAAATGACTTTATACAATTGCCTTCTAAATTTAATTCTCGTATATTCAGACCGTCCAAGTTTTCAATACATTTGATGAGGTTGTAGGACAAGTTTAAATACTGTAAATGTCTATAAAAATAAACTATACAAATTTTTTGTAAATACAAGTCGCGCATCAGAAGACACAATATAATATCATGCATTTACTTTAAATTTTCTAGCCCAGAAATGCTTTCTAGAACGTTGTGAGATAAGTTTAATCTGACGATGCTCCAGCAGCCGTTCAGATCGCCGATATCTGTTACATGATTGTAAGATAAATTTACGTAGGTGAGGTACCAAGGAGGTGTAAAATTTGACACATGTTCAATTTTATTGTGCGATGCGTTTAAATACATTAGGTATGGAAGGCCACTCAAAGGCGATAAACACGATATATTATTATTAGTGATATTAATATATTGCAAGTGTCGATGGTATCGCAACATGGTAATATCCGTAAGACCCTGAAAAACAAAGAGTAACAGTAAATAAATGTGGAACTCAAATATTATTGTTAATTTATTATTATATGTATAGACATAGTATCGAAATCTGTTGAAAATTATAATTCAGCAAAGTGTCTACTATATATTTTATCAGTACAATAAGAGCAAAAATATAACAGAATCTGCTGCAGACTTTTCTTTCTTTCTATAATATTTTTAATTGTAGAAAATATAAACCGACGGAATCTATCATTTCGCACTTTTACTCAGCAAATAGACTACAGTAGTAAATAAAGTGCCAACCAATTGACAGTAATTCAATCGAAAATTACTAGTGAATCGGCATCAATTGTGTTCACATTAAGCTCATGTTTTGAATATAAATAAATAAATTATATAACTACACAAAAACTAAAAAATTTATATATTTAAAAAAAGAATATTTTTATATAATTAAATATTTAATATTTATTTAAATATTAACAATAAAAATTAATAAAATTATATAGTAAATTATATAATAAACTAGGATTAGATATTATAATTTAGATAAAATTAAACTATATAAATTATAAAATATAATATTAAATTAAAATAATTTGGCAGAGTATGTGATATAATCTGACAGCATATTGGCAGCAGAAATTAATCAGAATCTATTTAATACAAATTGTTCTATTTCTGCCGTTAATCTGCGTCAAATTATGTCTCAAAGTCTACTTAATTTTCATGTGTCCTATATATTGTTGATCAAATTTTGTTATATATATTTCTACCAGCATTCTATCAACGAGATTATACATGTCTTGTATCAAATTTGTAACTTTTCTCTTGACAGAATTTGTAACAATTTTAAATATTGTCGGTAGATTTGATTCTCTGAGTAAATTATTTTTTTCTATAGTAAATGAAAATTTTCTATTTAAAATAGATTCAAAATAATAAATTCTTGGTGTCTGCTGGTGCTGGCGATCTACAGTTAAATAGACTTTACTAGCAGAACTTTAATGCCAACAAAGTTATGTCAATCTCTCTCTCTAACAATCAACAATCAGCAGTTTTATTAAAATCTGCTAACGATTATAAATTGCTAGCATATTATAGATTATATTTTTTTTTCTTGGTCTACCGATAAAATTTATATTAACATTTTTGCTTGTTTTATTGGTATTAATTTAATTGTAGAATTTTTGAGACAATACCCTATTTTTCAGGACACACTTGCTAAGAATATAGAGACCGTTTTCAGGTGATCTCGTCAGGAAGGATGAGCCGATGCCTATCAATCTGTCAGATAAAAAGCCAAAACTTTCCTTGTTATCCAATGACACTTCGCTCGGTCTTATCTGTACCACAGACGATTTACTGTCCTCCCACAAACGTAAATCCAAGGCGTATCCTCCCCAGTCACTATCGATAATTTGCTGTGTTTGTTCATCATGAAATCCTGATGAACAGATCTTTACGAAAAAGACAATTAATTTTAGATAGTTCAATTAGGAAAAAAGAGATAGACATCTTTTTATACGAAGCAAATCTAAGGTTATTTGAATCAATATAAAATTTCTCAAATCAAAATATTCAATTTAAAAAGGGAAAAACGTACCTTTGCAGGCAAAGTAAGTGACGTTAATTGAGAACTTTTCTTTTCTACAGGATCGTTCTTCAATTTTTCATGTGCAATATGTTTATCATCTAAAGTTTTTTTACGCATCTTTTCATGAGTCGTTTGTAATATTTCCGACATTTTTTAAAAATATTTTTTACATACTTCTCAATTATCGGTATGTAGAAAGTCTCCAATTATTTACAATTAAAACAAATGAATTATGATTTTTTTTACATATAATAGGTGACTTCCTTTAATCGGACTATTAATTCAATCGACAAAATTATTTATAGCAAACATTTTGATATATACTTAGGTCTGTACTCAGTACGCGCTTACAACGATGTTAACGCTCTAACACGCTATAGTCTACGTTACGCATACTAGAGAATTTCAGAGATAAAAGCGCGTTCTGAATACGGACCTTAATTAAAATTAAACCGTATATACAATTATACCGTGTATGTATATATAATATGTGTATATATATGATATGATATAATATAATATAATAATATAATATATAATTCTGTATATATAATATAATAATATATATTCATTCATAGACGCATAGTAATTTTTATTACAAATGTATTTTTTTATAATGACTATACATTATTACTATTTGAAATGTTTCCTAATACTTAACTATCCACTATATTTGTAGACTGCAACAAAGGATGCACATTTTTCCTGCACTGAATATTCAACCAGAATCCATTTTCTGGCAATAATGCCAGATCTTTGCTAAATTTTATTGGGGACTCAGTTTTTGCGCTAGGTTTCAATTCACATCGCGCCAATAAGTGAAACAGCAAGACCTTGATTTCCAGCATAGCAAACCTGTTAGCTATGCACATTCTTGGTCCTAATCCAAACGGCATATAACATGAAGAATTATGAAGCTTGTTGTCTAAAAATCTTTCTGGGTAAAACTTTTCCGGATTATCAAAGTATTTTTTATCACGATGAATTGCCAAAATCGGAATCCAAACAACCATACCCTTCTTCATGATAGCAGATTTCTCACCCGGTAATGCGGGTGGTAATTCATAAGTTTTTGTACACGTCCTTTCTAAAAAAGCGACTGGTGGATATAATCTAAGCGCCTCGTTTATCACCGCATCTAAATATTCAAGCTGATTAATGGCTTCGTAAGACACTTCTTTGTCCGATTCATTCAAAATCTTATCGATCTCTTGTTGTAATTTGATTTGAACTTCTGGATTAGCTGCGATTTCGTGAGCTACGAAGCACATCACGGTTGAACTGGTATGGAAACCAGCGAAGAAAAAGATAAATGCTTGCGCAGTCATGTCATCAATATCTAATTTTCTATCACCTTCTTTGCCTCTGATATCCATCATTAACTGTAGCATATCCGGACGTGTGATATGTTCCATATCACGAACAGCAATTGTAGTCTTTACAATATCCTTGAAGAAGTGCGATACGTGATCGTTTATAATTTTTACATTGAGAATTCGTCCGAGATTAGGAAATGTTTTAAGAAAAATAAACTTTATGATATGATTTTGGAAAATGTCAGCCGCTTCTTTGCCATAAATATAAAAATTATTTGTTGGATCCTTCATAGAATCGACCTTGATTCCAAAAGCACATGTGGCAATGACGTCGTTCGTATATTTAGAGAAAGCATCTTTCATGTTTATTTCACTTTCATCCGTTAGCAACGTCGACAGAAGTTTAGCAAAATCCATAGCACATTGTGACATCAATGTGAACATCATTTTCATCTTGCTGGACGTAAAAGAGGGACTCAAAAGAGTTCTTACGTCCCGCCATTTTTCTCCGCGAAGAGAAAATAGACTTTTTTCAAGCAAAGGATTATTTACATCGGAGAAACCAGGACGATCTGAAAATGTCTCGAAATTCTTAACAACAATAGTCTTAATGAGTTCCGGATCGCGAAGCAAGAACAATGGAGTTGTAATGCCATAAAATCCATAATATTTTGCATTTGGATTGAAATTGTATACTTTCAAGATGGAATCGATAAGTGGTATTCGACGAAATATAATCGTTATTATGATTACGAAGATTGATTCAGGCGGTACATGTATAATACCGTGTCTTTTAAAGAAATTAAAACTTCTAAAAAGATAATCAATGCTGATCACACCGATCACTATCGATAACAATATCAACCAGTATTCCATGATAAATGTAACTTTGGAAAATGTTTTTATCTTCTTGTAAACGTTTGATAAAATGTAATTGCGGATTAAAGATCGCTAGCAAGCAATACTGTCAACGCGAACTGTTGCAAATAACTGGTCGTAACAGCGCAGCTGCGTACTTGCGTAGTTCCATAGTACTGCAGTAAATATCTCTGACGCAATCAAGATATTATACACAAGATCAAGTGGTACTTTGTTCGGTATTAATCAATAAATCTTAGATAATGCTTTTAATTTATTTTTAAAATTTATGTATAAAATAACATTTAAATATATGTAATTATTTATTATGCATGCTAAATGTTTGTACATACCGAGTAGGGAAAAAAGATCGGTATCTTTAAATAACTCGAAAGATATGTGTTTTGTAGAAAAATGTTTCAAACAAAAATTGTATGGTATAAAAAATCGACTTACTATATATTATGAATTTGAACAGCATCGCTAAGATTAGGTCGAAATCACATTGGTTTTTTTAAAAGGAAACTTTCATTTTTCATTACACACTTAGCTCCGCCCCAAAGCAGGATCGTAAGTAGCCTTCTTAAGCACGCATATGTAGCACTCACTAAGAGAAATGTTGTGATAACTATTTATTTTGTTGAGATGTGACTAACAAAAGATTTTTTACTTTAATAAGAAAGCTTTTGACACACAATTTGACGAGATACCATATTTTCTTGCCACATCTTTAATTTTTGATCCGGAAGCAATCTCCTCAATTATCTGTTGCTTGTGAACAAATTTCTCTCTGATATCATAAACGCATCTCGGAAGTGAAACACATTATATTCTTACATATAGTTAGGAGTCTATTTTACCTCTCGATTAAGTCTTCAACATAATGGCGTTCGCCATTTTTTGAACTGAATATGGTTACTTTAATTAGAAAGCACCAATTAAAAATCGTGACGCAAAGCCAATTCTCTGATTATTTAGAACTTTAAAATACATTTTGTCTAAATAATACTTCTTCACAAGAGATACAAAAACCTTTTGTCATTATAGATAGCACTGTAGAATATGTTACAAAAATTAGTTCCTGTATTCGATATCGTAATAAATCTTGGCTTAAAATTTCTCGCGAGGGGTTAGCATTAACTAAGATTAATATTAGTAATCTATACTTAAGATGCTTTCCTTTTAGGAGTTATAATTGACACAATCATCATTCTATCTTTCTTAGCATTGAATAAATAACAAAAAGCGACACTTGTGTTGATTGTGTGCCTAAAAGGAAAGCAACCTTATATAGTAGAAAATTATATCACCACATAATTATACTAACAAACGCGCGTAATCCTATACTATCTTTGTTAAGTATGAGATACAGCGTTCTGAGAGACAATGATCAATTGTCTTCGTTCTTTTATAAATTATATTGCATATTACAGTAGACGGTAGTGAGGATCGTACAATCTCATAAAAAATTACAATTCAGTATATTTAAAACAAATGCGTTAAGTATATATTATTAAAGTATAGACTACTAACATAATTTATGTAATCGTTCATTTCAATTTGATACGGTACATGTTTTTTACCAGAAACAATTCGGTACATAAGCTAATTTGTAATAATGAATCTTTGATCAGATTAGATTGTATTAAAAAAATACTATTGTACTTCGGACCTTTATCGAATCGTAAAATTAACCAATGCACGTTCTGTTACATTTCAGTGACTCTAGGATCGTTTATACTGACTGTAATCTGTAAGACTTAATCAATCACACAATAGAATAAGAGAGAAATAATTAATTATAATTAGTCAATTCTCATTTCATAGATTACAGCATAAGTTAATATCACATAGATTATAGCCTGTATAAATAATCGCGGCTATTCGGAACCAAGCATATAAAGATAAATTCGTCAGAAAAGATACATTCATTAGAGAAAGCAATAAGAAACGTATAAACTTAAACACAGAGGAGATATATATAATATATATTATATATATATATTATAT